TGCATGACGGAATAAATGTCAGTCAAAGTACTGCAGCGCTGAACACTGAAAAATGGCCTGGCCAGGAAGGGGGTCTAAACACCTGGTCTTCAAGCGGTTAAATTGGCCCGAGGCCCCCAAATTACTCGGCCACCCCTCTCACTGTAAGTCTCCCTCAGGCAATGTAAACAATTACAGGGTCCAGGATGGTACTTGCGGTTTGTTGGGGTATTCAGAGCCCTCCAGGAGTACAGGGCGAAGGATCACTGCTGTGCTGGAAGAAGTCCGGATTAATGCTGCTGGAGTGAAAGGTTCATGTGATGGAGCAGAGGTATGAGCCCTAAGAAATTGCTCAACGTTCTACCTCGCTAGAACATTGAGCAAGTGTGCCTTCCAGGCTTTTATGAGTAGGCAGGTGTGTTGGGGCGGAGCAGTCAGCAGAGGCCCTCCCGAACGTCTCCTAGCAACAGGATGCTTCCGAAGGGCCAGGCTGCTACGCCCTCACTCCTATGTGTGACGAGTCCGAGGGAGACGTCTGGAGGGAGGAGCCGAATATGCAAGCCTGCCGGCCCGTCTCCTAGCGACGAGACGGCGCCGCGGTTCGTGACACCCTTTCACCCAAATTCCCAGTGAGTTGACAGGTTTTAAATGTGCAGAGGAATGGTACAATGAGGAGATATCCTCCCAGACCAGGAACTCCCCCTTCCTTTCCGTATTTGAACAGTGGAGAAATTCATCAATCTGATTAGTTTGCCTCTTATCTGATGTCGGTAACTTTTCCCCCTGAATGTTTTCTCTGTCAGTTGCTTTCACATCACACACGAGTTTGGTTGCAACTGTTCAGATTTCCACAAAAAATTTAAATTTATGTTTTAGGAATGCCACAAACTATTGTAGTAAAAATATAGGGGTCTATACACTAAAGGGTGAAGAGTTTGGAGAAGGCAGGAGAAGTGGACAATCTAGGCCAAAATAGCCGATTTGGAGAAATTCACCAATTCAGCTCACTTTCCAGATCAGCTATTTGGTCCTAGATTGTTCACTTCTCCTGCCTTCTCTAAACTCTTCACCCTTTTGTGAATAGACCCCATAGTATCTTGTGTATTGTTTCACAAGTTACTTTTTATTTAGCTATTCCTTTAGCAACATGAGATCTCACAGTTCGCATCTAAGACCCCATTCACACTGAGCTACATCCATCGCTTTTCAGATCGATTTTGAGCTGAGCGACATTGAGCTACAGTGCACATTTTGTCGTGCTACGTAGTGCGACTTTTCGCAGGGACTTCGTAGCTGCTACATTGGGCTGTCACCAATCAAAAGCAGTCTTTTCTTCCTTCCCTCTTATATTTCTGTGCAAAAGTGACACTTCTGTAGTGCAACAATGTCGCACAATGTCGCTCGACATTGAGCTACACCATTAAGGTCTATTGGGTCAAATCGCACAAATTCGCCCCGAAAAATAGCTCATTTTCGAGCTACAAGCTTGAGCGACATTGAGCTGTGAGATGTGGAGGCATATCTCATCTCCATACAATAGTGTTATCATCTCAAAGACTCCGTGAGAGTGGCTGCCAAGTCGGAGTGGGCATGAAGCTCTGTGTGCGTTCCAGTTGAGCCTGCTATTCCCAGGTTATTAAAGCATTCCTGCCTCAAGGGTGCATATGTGTAATAAAGTGCACTGCTCAGGCTGGTAATATGGAGCGCTATGTATAGGAAAGCTTATTTCTCACAGAGCGGCTCTATAAGGACAGGATCAAACCAACATACAAAGGGGGTGACCCAGTCGTAATAAACACTACATAGAAGGAGCTATCAGTCATGAAGTAAACTGACTATAGGTAAACCCTAAAAGATTGTGCTGCTTTTACACAGTCCCCTAATCCAAATGGAGAAATACTGACTGACCCATAATCTTAGGGAACAGAACAATTAGGGGTCTATTTGTAACAATTCTTTTACACAACTTTTAACCTTTCTAATTGAATTCAATTGACCTTATGACCAAGAGAACAGCATTAGTTGCTGGGCATCCTTTAACCTGGAAGAGAACTAGTGCTGGATGATTTGTGTGGTGAGTCTGTGGGGGACTGCACTCTGCATAGCTCACATAGATAATTCTATGGTGCTAGTATGCACAATGGCAACTAAATAATGCTGCCATAATTAAAATAATAGTAATAAAAAAAATTATAGCAATCAAAATGCCACTTCATAATTAATGGCCTGAAAGAGTTAGGGAAGTTTGCACAGGAATCCATAATGTGCTGTTACACAGTTGTAAAATATGACACAATGCATAGCCATAGTTAATATTCATAATAATGTGAAGTGAGAATTTATACAGTTATTTTCCTTAAAGGAGAACTATGGGGTTAAGGCTTTTCCCCATAGTTCTCCTCAGGGTAACGGGAGGACACAAACTAGCGTCCTCCCGTCACCCTAGGCTCAGTATACCGGGAGCTGTAGCTCGCGGTATACTGAGATGCCGCAGTATACCGCGAGCTGCTGCTCGCGGTATACTAAGACGCCGCAGCTGAAGCGGATCCCGATAATTATGTCTGGATCCGCCCAGCTGCGTGACTGACAGCTGGCTCTGCCTGTCTAGAGGCAGAGCCAGCTGTACCCACCCCCTCCCCGTCCGTTCCGCCAGTCAGCGCTGGCAGATCGGAGAGGGGAATCCAGCCCCTCCCCTGTCACGGCAGGGAGCCATGACAGGATCGAGAGGTGAGCGAACGCCGGTATGTGTTCGCTCACCTCCCGATCTACTGAGCCGACCTGTGACAGTCAGGTCACAGGTTTTAGTATAGCTGTTTATTATACTGCCATCTAGTGGTCGTTTTGGTTATTGCACCATTGTTTTCGGATTTATGATGTATTTCCTTTTCTTCATGAGACTAGTCCTTTCTGGCATCAAATGGCAGACTGTAATGTGGCCACATATTAATCTGCTTGCCTGCTTGGAAATATTATCATCTCTGACCTGCAAATACCATCTATTCATTCATCTGCTGTATCCTGTAAATAGCTCGCTGCATGCTATAAAGCACTTCATGGATTAAAAGGTATTTGGTGAGTTCAGCTATCTAATAAGGATTGTCTGCAGTGATTATATCTGCTCATACAGGCCAGGCATAGAGGTCTCAGCAAGGGTTAAATCGCTAATACAACAATCGGCATCAGAATACATAATGACATCCATAAATCTTAGGCTGTGGGCAGCAATATCATTTCTATTGCATATGATTCAACATTTGACAGGTAAAACTGTCTTTAAAAAAACTAACGTTTTGCTTTTCAAGGAAATGACTTTGTATGTTTCATATTCTGTACTAGGAAACCTTTGTAGATGTACAGGCTACCGACCAATTATAGACGCTTTCAGAACTTTTAGCAAGGTCAGTAAATTTACAAAAAAAACTAAATATGCGCATATGAGATAGGAATGGTTCTCATTTAAGTTTAGTCAAAAAGTGATTTTATTTTTTTATCCAAAATATGGACAATTTTGCCTACAAAAAAAAATAACAATGAATTCTGTTTTTAAACACCCTAAAGCTGTTGAATTTGGCATCTTGGTGCCGATTGTTTTTTGCACAAAGATTGGCTGCTTTCAGCACAAAGCTGGCACAAAATAACTTTCTGGCAATGACCAGATTAATATAGATTTGAAGAAATGAGCAGTTGCTTCTGGCAGTTAGTGGCTAAGCTTGAGTCAGGGTATAGTGGATCTAAAAAAAAAGAACTGACGAGTTCACGGTTACCCCTTTTTATTAGGCTGGTTTCTGTGTGGTTACAAGGGGAAATAAAGCTACTAAATATCCAGACCTTGATTTTATTGCAAGGTCCCATTTAAATTCCACTGAACTTAAATGAATATTTAAAGCAGAACAGTAAAAAAAAAAACAACTTTTAGTAAATTATACAATAAAATATCCTATGCAACGTTTAAACAGAAAATCTACAAC